GAGGTGGGCTCGGAGCAGGTGGTTTAGGAGGAGGAGGTGGAGGACCAGGAGGCGGAGGTGGAGGTGGAGGTGGAGGTGCAGATTTTCCTGGAGGAAGCGGTAATGGTGCATGAGCAGTTGCATTCATCTCAGATTTTGACAGTTCCACGTCTGCTTCGGAAGAATTATGAGGATCAGCGTCATTTACAGCAGATGCACTCATGAAATTTAGAGAAGCACCTGGCAACACAGATCATACAAATTACTGAAATGTAATGAAAAGAATGATACACTGAGATTAATTAACCATCATGCTATATAGCAGCAAATAGACACCTGCAGTCGAATTCAGAGGCGGTTTCCCACCCCTTTTCCCATCATCTGGAGCTACTTCTTTCTTCTTATTCTTAACACATAATATTAACAGAGCTAAAAAGGCAATTCCTGCAACAGAACATCCAGCCACTGCAGCAATTAAATAATTTCGATGCTGCTGATTATCTCCCTGAGAATTAGGACCATTTTGCGGTTTATCTGGAGGATTAACAGGTAAAGGTGTTGAAGAATTGGTGTGAGTTTGATGTTTTGGAGGCTTTGCAGGAGGTTTTATAACTGGAGAAGGAGGCTGCACAGTTGGAGGAGAGCTAGTGGGCACTTCAATAGAAGGAACTGGAGCATAAACTGGTGATACAATTGCAGGACCTGGAGACGGAGCGAGCATTTGAACTGCTGCAGGACCTGGAGAGGGAGCGGGAGACAGAACAGTTGCAGGGAGAGGAGATGGAGCGGGAGACGGAACAGTTGCAGGGCGAGATGGAGCGGGAGACGGAACTGGAGCATGTTTTTTTGGCAAAAATGATTTCTTTCTTTTTCTTAGAGCTTTTTTTTTTGGCAAAAATGGATTCTTTCTTTTTCTTAGGTACCTCCTGGGAACACTTGACAATTGTGAGAAAAGCTCTTCGTACTTGCTAAACCAAGTACTGGATGCATCGTCACTATCAGAAATATGACTTGGAACATTTTTCCTTCTTAAGCACTGCAACAAAATCTGCTTCTCTCGGGGAGGCAAATCTTCAATAGCCTTTTGTAAGGTTCTTTTTCTCAACAAAGCTATATCCTGTTTTAAGTAACTGTAACTTCCTGTTGCTGTCTGTTGAATATAATATTCCAGAAACCTTGCAGCTTCGGTACCCTCTTCTAACTCTTCCCTGCAATGAATCCATACTTGCTCGGCCTGCATACAGAAGATCATCAAGTTATAGTATTCTGACAAGGCAAGAACTAAGTTAGAGAAATGAATTCTATATACTAATATAAAGTTGTTTTTGTTTCACTATTATGCAACAGATGCTTCTCCATCTTGCATCTTTTGATAATTCAAATTTGATGGCTACATTATATGCACAGTAAATCAGAACATTCAACAACTAAACTGGTAGCATTGAAACTTGTTAGCCTATGTAATTGACTGTCCAAATCCAGATAAAGAAAACTGGACTACAAAAGCGTGTCAGAATTTTTTCCATTTATTCCAGTTGGAATAAGATACAAAGCAAGAGATTTTGCTAGATAAAAGCAACAGCTTGGGAATACAGATTTACATGCTAGGCTGGTTTGGGGAAACAGAAAGGTGACTCCAGTTTTCTTGCACAATGATCTTCAAAATTCCGGTGCGAGGAAAACACCTTTGATGCAATACATATATGTTTAAAGGAATAGGTTGAAAAGGTTACTGATTTCAGGAAAACACCAGTATTTTAGTTCCAAGGTGGATTAGAAGAGATCCTTTCTCATTGTCTTTGTTATAAATACAGATTTAATTCTTGTTTCCTATGAACCTCCAAATTTCAGCCATTTTTACAACTAGTCTTATGTTGCCCGGACTCTTCAAAAATGTCAACGGGTGTGTGTTGGATTCTCCAAAAGTAGTGTATTTTTGGAGAATCAGTAGTATATATAATTTTTTCTCACCGCGCACTTGCATTACCACCTGAACTTTCTTTTTTACACTTTGAACCCCCCGAGCAAAAATCCTGGGTCCACCACTGCCGACATGGGTTCGGCATCGAAAGTGAAGAGTCCGCACAACTTAGGTAACAACTAAGTCTCTGAACTTTTGGAAATGAAAAACCTTAAAAACATTGGCATAGACTCCTAAGCCCATATTTGTTGGTTGTGGGCAAAGACCAAATTGGTTAAATCCCACTCTTAATCGAAAACACAAATTCATTTACATAATCCAAAAGTTAACCTCTTATGAAAGTTGTTGAAGACTATGATCATCTCATCTAAAACCTTAGCTGTTAGAAAGAGAACACACTTTTATTATTTAATTGTATTTTCAACATGCCCCTACCACGTGCAAGCCTGCTACTTTTTCATGGTCCAAACACATGGAAATTCTTTTAGATAATAGGTTGCTGGGAAATTCGATTACTAGGACGTCTGCCTACTTTGATACCATATCAAAGTGTATGACCATCTAATCTAAAAACTTAAGCTTTTAGAAATAGCTACTTCAAATTTCAACGACATTGCTAATACTCATCGGAAAATAGTAATTAGCTATCAGCAGACAAATGCATAGAACATATACATCAAGCAACTCATATCTAAACACATTTTATGAATGCACATTACATTCATCTCCATATGAATATAAGTGAAATGAAATCCATACCGTGTCTTCGTCTATCACAGGACCCTGCCAAAGACCAGCTAAGTCTAAATTGCTTCCAGGAAACTTCCTTTTCCCTTCTGAATCTCTTGCTGCCCAAAGACAAATCAAAGCAACAAAACTAAACACATAGGCTACCCTTCCCATTATAATATTGATCATCCCATTTTCTGACCTTCTTTTAATTGCATTTGGCATGTATTCAACAGCCCCCCCTTTTTTTTCTCAAGAAACACCCAATGCAATCCAAGAAACAACCATAAAACCTTCTATTTTTAATCCAATTCAAAGAATTCTCAGCTAAAAGAGAGAATTGAAATATATATACAAATGTATATTACAATACAAATGTATATATATAAATCAGATGGATTGTGGCCCCTATAAACACTAAAAGATTCAATTTTTACACCTAAAATGTATATGTATGCACATAAAAATTGTATCTTTAGCTTTTAAAATGCAAAATTTTGGTTTCTGTTGTAACAAATAGTGAGAGAGAAAAAGAATGATTTAGCAAAGGTTCAAGAAAGAGATGAATTCTATGTATGATCAAGAATTCTATTTTAAGAGGTTCCCTCAAGTTTTATTTAGAAAAACTCTCAGATTTTCTACTTTTTTGGGTCAAATTCTAAGTTGGGATTTTTGTTTGTTGGAATATTTCATTTTTTTTCGGAGGCAAATTTTTTTTATACATATTTTTAGGAAAAACGTGCAGAGAACAAAGTTGAGATAAGAGAGGGGGCAGAACACCTGATTTGAAATTTGGCCTTTTTAAAATTTATCTTGAACTTAAAGAAAGGTTTTATTTTTCCTTTCATATTTTTATCTTACTTAAAAAAAATTTAAAAAAAGTTTTGTGAGTGGAAATTTCGAAACTAGTTCATTGAAAATATTTCAAGATTGAATTTTTATAATTTGATCAAATTTCATGATCAAACTCTATGAAAAATTAAAGTTGATTTTTTGAATGTACAAAAAATATCTTCGATATTTAGAAGAATTTTCTAGAATTTTGTAGAGTAAATGTCTTTGATATTTATACTAAAGAAAAATCTAGATGTTTTAGATAATTAGATTTTTACAGTAAAGTATAGAAATATCTAGATTCTTGTTACATAGTTAGAAGATAAGGATATCTAGATATTTCTTGTAGATATATCATATATCTAGAATAATTTCTAGAAGCATCTCTATACAAGTATAAATAGGGGCGACATTAGACATTTGTAATCAACCCAAGAACAACTCAAATCAAATAGTTTTTTTCTATAACAAAGTTCTTTTTATCCAAAATACTCTCTCTCCCTTCTAACTTTCTCTTCTTTAGTTGAATCTTTCGATCTTAGTTAACGATCTTGGGCTAGCAGAAGTTTCATCGATTATACTTTTCTTCTGCTACTCTCTACAAACTCAAGTATGTAAAGAAAAAAAAGAAGGCCACACTATAGTCCTATGGGAGATTTGGTATAAGCCTGGAAAATGCTGATGCCGAGTTGTGCAATAATAGTCGCCTCAAAGTTTTGATTCAAATGTGATAAAGTTCTTAGAGATAGTTTCAAATATATAAAATAAAGTAATTTGTTTACAATAAATATAGTCATATAGTGTTTACATAAAAAATAGTCAAAAGTCATAATAAATAATTATTATACATTATGATACATTCAAAAAACTGAATATAACTTACCTATAAATGAGTTATACACTGACTATACATTATGATACAAATATATTTGTCTGATTTCTGTACTTTATTTGTGGAAAGACTTATCTAAACTAATAGTGATAATATTTCTTCTCCTTTTATTTAGTTCTCTTTACCAAAGTTATAATAAGGAAAAAACAAAGATGTTGTAACAATAACTTTGAACTAATTAGCTGTTCCTTGTGGGATGAAATGACCATAAATTTGGTCAACCAAGGGATGGTCAAAGATTTATGTAATTAATCATATTTTACTTTATTTTCTGTAATTAGATTAAAATTCTGTAAATCATGAAATCAAATATATCTATTTTTGTTAGACATAAGTATATAAATTACCTTATTAATTTGAAGAAATGATTTATTTATATTCACATAAGTGTAAGTGAATATTTACACGATAAATATAATTTACCATGTCGTAAAAAGATATTTGATTATTTAGTCGATTATTCGATTCTGCATTATTTAGTGCGAGTCCAAATCTACATGACATAAAAATTCAGTTTATTGATTACCATGCACATTCTTTTCTTTGTAGTATATATAACTTTTAAGTTGAAGAATTAAGATCTATTGATCACTCTCGTATGTTTAGCTTATAATTTAAAGGTTCAGAAAATTAACAAAAACCTTATGAACTAGAAGGATGCAAAAATTATCGAAACCAAACCAAATTGTTTTCTAATTCAAAACACAATACCTATGTTTTGATGCCATACAAGAACTCTAAAAGTTGCATTCACAATAGACAAATGCAACATTATTCATACTTTTGCTTGCCTGATAGGGGGAAGTTATTTATTCTACCAAGTTCTTAACCTATAAACTAGTATAACATAATTCCTGTTGCAGCTGTTGGACACCCACAGCTACTTCCCCGCCGCGATCCGGCCTGTTTCCTCAATACATCCGTCCCATACTGGTTCCTACAAATCCAGAGAAGCAAGATTCAGTAGATTCCTTTGTGTAATCTAATTCAGCATGCAAATGTTTGGGAAAAAAGTGGCTATAGAGTTCGCAGATTGGTATGATGATGGTATTGAGTTTAAATGAAGAAGTGCCAATTCTGACATCAACTTGTTTGAGACTAAGGCATAAAAGTTATTGTATATATTTACTAATATATATACCAATTGGCTATCTAGTTTACCAAAAATGGCCGGAGTGTACACCACATATACACTCAAAAAGTTACCACTAAGCATTTGAATATGAAGATTCGTTACCTGCAGCAGCCATATCCTCTGCGTTGACAGAAGACACCTAAAAATTACAATGCAAACAGTTAACTTTCCATAATGGATGTTCGAAAAGCAGTTAACCATCCTTCCAAACATGACACAATCAAAAATGTCTTACCGCAACATTTTCATTTCTCTGGAGAAATTCCTGGCCACCCAAGAGTTTTGCCTGGTAAAAAGAGTACAAAACATGATCATGCCAGTCCTAATTCAACTAGTCCTAAGAAATTGAAGTAAAAATTGCAAGATATGCTCACTTTTGATAGTTGAATTAGTTCCATAGCACTCCTAATGAACTTCTCATATGCATCAGCTTCTTGGACAGAGTTGATATTCTCCACTTGTGGTTCGTAATACCTACCCGATCCAACAGAAAAAATCATTATAAAAGAGGGAAATCTTTTAAAATATCAAAAAAGAGAGACAGGAAGGAAATATAGAGTGAGCAACTCTTCAACCTTATTTTCTGTTGTGCTTCACTTAGCCTTTCTTTAAGCTTATTAAGCTTCTCCTCATGGCTCTGTTTTGGAAATACATAAAAAATAAATCAAGTTACGAGTTTTCAGTAATAACAAATTTTGGCGGAAGGTGATTCCCTTTCTACATATTAATCTTACCTCAACACTAAAGCACGTTGATCAATCATCAGCATCGTAAAAATACCCAACAAAAGAGACAAAAGTTATTCAATCATGTAGAAAATACCATACAAAAAAGCAAAAGAAATAAACTCGAGAAGTCATGTATCTACTCTGACAAACTAATAGACTAATACATATATACACAGAGTGCAAGAGGAGAGTGGTATACATCGCTATCTTTTCCACCATTTTGCCTTCATGTTTTGATTGTGTGAGAATCTCCGTCAAAGGCTGCAAAATAAAACGTCAGATGAAATTCCAAGGACTTATCGGAAGAGGCTGCTGATCAATGTGTAAAACTTAGTACCTGTTCATTTGGATTTTCAGGAGATCTTCAACAAAAATAAAATAAAATTAGATCAATGGTCAGTTAAACTAGAATTGGCAAAGTCTAATTCATGGATTTGGCATATTGAAATAAGCATACCGCTTGTTCAGTTCGCCAGCCTTGTTCATAGCAAGGAGCATGACATCCTCAAGACTAAGCAACCAAAAAACAAATCATATGAAATTATGTACTATAAACGAAACGTAGAATGTTCATTGTAGAAATTTCATTCACCTTTCTTTGCTAGAATAGCTGGTCACTTCACCCGCTGGAGAAAACATTAGAAGACCAACATCAACGTCACATAAAACAGCCAACTCATTTGACTTCTTAAGAATGGTATCCTTGCGCTTTGAATAGAACTGTTGACGGGATGTTGGATCCTCAATTTTCTTCATCACAAGCTTAGTGCGACCCATGGAACAATGCAAATTAAACTAGAACTGGAAGTTAGATGCCGGGTTGTTCTTCAATGAGCTAAGAAATATATAGATCAACAAAAAAAAAAAAAGGAAAAAAAAAGTCAAAGCATTTAATGTATTGACTTATTTGTAAGTCAAAACACTTACAATCTAATACTCCCTCTGTCCCAATTACTTGTCCACTTTTGAATTGGCACATCTATTAAGAAAACAATAATTGACATAGTGAGTTTACCATTTTACCCCTATTAATTATGAAGTGGATGAATTAAAAACTTAAGATTTTCAAAAAGTTTTACCTTTTTTAAAGTAATAAATTGAGGGTATAATAGGTAAAAAAATTTTGTCCTTCTTGATTTGTCAAAATGGACAAGTAATTAGGGACAGAGGGAGTAGAAAATCTAATATTGAATCACATATCAAAAGATTTTGAGAAGAAAACAAGTTTAAACGCTAGTCTTAGTCAACACTAAAAATTTTCTACACAATTAATGAACAGAAATCTGTGGGCTTTAACCTGCTTAGTGGAAAATAACAGTAACTCCTAAGCTCTTTCTTTTACATAATGATATTAGACAAGTACTATTTATCATTTTCCTAGAATTATAATGGGTATATGATATAATTATAACTTACAGAAGAATTTATATTTTGATATCTGAAGAGAAGTATAAGGTGTATGGGAAGATCACAGTAAACAGAACTAAAATCATACATCAGTAAAACAAATTTATAACATTGCACCATAAAAAAACCCAAGACATCTAAGTCAAAGTTGGATTAAAGATTTTAAGTTTATAGGTTCTGAATTTTAAGACAAGTCAATGATTGGGACCGGGATATATTAGTTGTACATATTATGTGAATTTTTGACACAAATATAGAGTTAAAATCAAAACGAGCTAAGCCCACGGGGCCGGCCCAACCCAACCCGTTATTGGGGTAGGGTGGGGATAGGATTTTTCAAGCCCATTTAAAACTAGGGCTTATAAGCTCGGCCAATATAGGCTCTTGGCCCTTGAGGCTTGATCGGGGTCGGCCCATGGGCCAAAACTTTTTATTTAAGGGTAACTTACAATATCTCACTAGTATATAATTTAATACTTAAATACACGCTATGTTGTAATATTATGATTTTTACCAGATTTTTGGTACGTCCAGATACATGTATCTCAAAATATATGGACTCAAAATTAGATTAATTTGTTCTAGATACACTCTATCCAAGTAAATTCGCATGTACCTAGGATACATAGACAAATCTCACGCCCTCGCCTCCTCCCATCTTGCTTGTCACTCTCTTATCTCGCTCGCGTATTTGATATGCGAGATACATACTAATTACACTAGATTCTTTTGCTAGTGTTATTGAAACAACACCATTGTTTGAAAAGAAAAAAAATGAAAAAAGAAAAAAAAAGGGCTAGCCCGCTCCAACCCTCGGCCCTCTTCTAGGGTTGGGTTAAGCATTTTCAGGCCCTTCCAAATGAAGGACCGATCTGTCCTAGCCCTTCAAATTTCTTGACCCGCGAGGCTTGGTCGGGTCTAGGCCGACCCTTGTTACAGCTCTGCTACTGGGTGTTGCCGAACCCATAACTTATAAGGAAGATCCGCCCAACTAATGATGAAACATGATACTTAATAACTCTACAACAATAAAATAGTTATGAGAAAAAATAGGTCCATATCATTTGACCTAACCATAAAATATATGTTCACAACTTCTAGGAAATATTTTGATGTCCATATATTGTTCTTTTTCTTAATAGGGATAAGATATAAGTATCCCTTAGACAATGATCAAAATTTTAGAGACACATCTTAACTAAATTAAGGTTCTATTACCCCCCCCCCCCCAATTTTTTTTTTTTTTTTTTAACCCTTTTTGTTATTTTATACACCTTTTTGGCTTACGTGGCATCCAAGCATCTCCCACACGCCTTAACTATGTGGAGTCACAGAGTGTGCCATGTAAGCCAAAAGGTGTATAAAATTACAAAACAAATGAGTTTGCGGGTAATAAAACCTAGTTTAGTAAAGGTGTGTCTATGGAATTTCGGCCATAATCTAGGGGGTACTTGTGCCTTATCCTTCTTAATAACCGAGAAATCCTCAAGAGCCAATGACACATGGTTAGACACTCTTGTGATAATAGGTCTATCATACTACACTTTTCTATTTAAATACCAGGCTTTTTTGTGGTAGGGTTCATCCAAACTTGAATCGTGCACTCAACTCATACATAACATGCGGTGCTCTTACCACTATACCAAACCCCCCGGAGGCAATCCATAAATTTGGTTCTTCATATACCTATTCAAATTATAGCCCAAAACTTTTTCAATACATCCTTTGATCATGATACGTAGAATCCAGTATCAACTAATACTGAATGGTTAACCCAAAAAATTCTTCTCTTTTATTTAGTCATGACTGAAACAGACAAGCTTTAGATTATTGAATATGAACTGAGAAAATCATAAAAGTTAGTAAACCTCAACCTTCACGGATTTACTACTCAAAGGAGTGTTATCTTAACTCCCTTCTTAAAAGAAATTGTCTTTCGAATTACCCTTCGAAGTGGCCCAGTGGTTTGAGCTTGGGACTTCCATGTTGGAGGTCTCAAGTTCGAAACCCCTTGCCAGCGAAAGCAAGGGGTTTGCCTTTTGGGTCGAGCTCGTCGCACCAGGCTTGCCTAGTGTGGGTTACCTCTCCTATGTGGTTTGCGAGCTATTGCATAGGAGCGGGGGTTTTACCCTGTGCGCACCCAAAGGGTAGCGACTGCGGGTTTCCCTTGTCATAAAAAAAAAAAGAAATTGTCTTTCGAATTGAAGTAACAAAAACTTGTCTTCCCAATGTATCATGTATATATGGTTGTTTTGCAAGGTTCCAAGTTGCCGTCAAAATTAGCATTGATATTTTACACGACCTAAAGTTCAACTACTAACTTAACTTTTCATCTTAGTGTAAAAGAGGTTGCCTAACATGTTCAAATAAAGCAGTAAGAATAGTAAGTAAAAAACACACAATATTTTTACGTGGAGAATACCCAACTCTAAAGGTGTAAAAAATCATGAACTGTACCCAACTCAAAAGGTGTAAAAAATCATGAACTGTACCCCTATAGGATTTGACTCCAACTTCACTGAATCAATGAGCCTTAACAGTTTAAGATTACAAACTCTTGCAATCCTAGGAACTTCTGATTCCTAAACTTATAAATTCAGATTACAACTCTTGCAATCCTAGGAACTAACTCTAATTCCTAAACTTCAACACAAATCTCCAAGGTATGTGTTCCCAACTCTTCGAGCTATCCCAACTTGAAGACAACACTCTTAATTCAGTTTACAACTCCCTGAACTAAGATTACATCAAGACTCAATAACAAAGAAAAACTCACAATGCATTAACTCTAATAGGACCAAGTTTTTCGATGTGTTCCTTCAATTTGCTGGTAACACTTACGAAGTCAATTTTTTCAATTATCCTTTTTGCTCGATAAGTGCACACATATTTTGAACAAATTCATCTATATTTAAGCGCAATTCTTCATAGAGTTATACTTCACTTCAAACTCCACATTGACTTAAAAATCTCTCGACTTAGAGTTCTACTTCAAGTGAGTACTCCTTCTTCAATTCAAACTCCTTGCCTCTTTAGACTCTTCAAATCAAATTCATTGATTCTTTCTTTTCAATTCATCACTTGTTTGTTTCCTTGAGTTTTATCATGAAATTGCATTATTCATTTCTTGATTTCTGTTGTCTTTATTCATTTTAAAAGCTTGTCCGAATTCAATTGCTCGTGTCAGTGTACCTTTAGACCATGTTGACTGACGTATTTCATCATTCTTTGTCAATCATCAAAACTGAATAAATCCCATCAAGCATTTTCTCAAGCATTTGTGCATATTGGATGCAGGAAGATGTCTTTCTTTTCACTCCTTTCCTAATATTTCTAAATTGTAATTCCACTTCTTTGCCACATTCGTATTACTAAACGTGTTAAATTGTCCTGGATACTTCCACAAGGCTCAAAGAGCTCCCATTACTTTTTATTATCAACAAGTTTCTTCTTTGCCTTGATTTCCTCTTTCCCGCATTTGTCTTATTCCACTCATTAAATTGCCCCCAATATTTCCCAACATTCAGTGTTCACTTTCCATTATCATCAAGAAGTTTCTAGTTTGTTTTGATACATTCCAATGTTTTAATGTCACGACCCAAATTAGGTCCATGACCGGCGCTAAGGGGAAAGAATCCCAAAGCAAGCCTTAACATAAATCTACAGAAAATCGGGTAGAGTTTCCTTTGTTTTTAGGCCTATACTGAATTTTCCCTGTCTCAGAAATTCACAACACAACCAATAGCAACTATAAGCCACCACATAATATCCATCAATGATCTAATTGTCATGCAATAAAACCAATTCATCTCCAAATTACGAAAAAGGAAGTTCCAAACCAGTCACTTGACTACAATACGAAGGACTAATCATGACTCAAATCAAAGGAATGAAAAATGGAGCGACTCTAAGAGTTTTAGAAGAAACTAAATAATACCATAGCAAATCAATAGTTCTCTTGCCACGCGAAGCAATGCGAGGCTCACCATATGCTTACCAAATCACACTTTCTAGTTAATGAAATCCTCTTCAATACCACCTGAGTTCTCTTGTAAAAACAATTAGCGAGGAGTGAGATGCTAGCTCAGTGAGTAATAATACTTAACCACAACCATTTTAATGAGGGACAAGTCAGAAAACATGCTAGTATAATAATCAAAATGATGAAATAATGCCCTTTCAGAAACAATACAATATTCAATCCTATATGCCTCATATAAGCAGGATGAATCATGTAATCAGTGTGGCCTTCTCTTTAAGAAGTAACCAATAACAGTGAATTCCTCATAAAAGAGTTAAATATTCATATCAATAGATCCCTACTCGAGGGATATCAGTAACAGTATACTAGTTCTACCTTCCCACTAGCAACTACTTTATCAGTAATCAGTAACTACAAGGTGCACAAGGTCTAATGAACCTGCCGTTAGCTATGGGATTCATCAAGGTCTACTCCCATTTATACTTTTCTTGTAATTGGTAGAAGCATTTCAAAATCGAACAGGGCATTTAAATCTTATCAAATCATATCATTTCAAAGTTTAACAATCACCTATCAAAACACTATTTCTCAAATAAGTGTAAAACCTTTTCAATAACAGTAATTATATCTTGTAAAAAATGAGATCATCTCAAATAATCTTTTCAATATCATATCAAGTAAAAGACTTGTCCCACATGCAAGTTCAAGCAGTCGGTAACACATTTACTTTATAAACCATGTAAAAATCATGAAATTTGTGAAATACAAATTGTGGTAAGATTACTATTCACAGTACTCGTGTAGAAATACCAAACTTGTCATCGCAAGCAATCCATATGGCTCCCTTCAATCAATCTATAATCACGTTCATATCAATTTCGTGTTAGTTTCTTCGTTTAAGGTAATCCATACTATAGTTAAACCCAGCCCTTTCATGACTGACTCATCTGCCAAGTCGCCTAATTGGGGCTTAAATCGCACAAAACAGTGTTATCTGGATTAGTATCACATTGAAATAAACTAATATAATCTTACTGTTCGTCTATTTCCTTTCATAGATGCCGAAATACAAGAGCTTAGTCTTATCATCTAAGGTACCCACTCGAATTCCAAGAATTTAACAGGTTCATCTATCTCTTTAACCCTTATTTTCTTAAACTCTTACAATCCTAATTTTATAGTCATGGAATCTACAAATATAAATCTTTAAGTTCAGTTAAGTTCAGAAAAGTTACCTACCACTTCTATCTCTCTCAATTAAATATCTTCCAACACCTTTAGCTTCACTCGAATGGAAAGGCAGATCCATGATTTTCTTCCTCCTTCTCGCTTTTTCACAAATAGCCGCCACAGAATCCTTCAACAAAGACTCCAAAGATTTTCCCTTTTCTTGCTACGTGAATTAAAGGAATAGGGTTAGGTTTCTTTTTTTTTCTTTTTTTTTTTTGTTTGCTGCCAGGTTGCAGCCTTTCCTCTCATTTTGTTTGTATTTTTTTTTTCAAAAATACTTTTTGGTCAAATAAACAATTTGTCTCCTATTTCTTTTTAATACTAAAATGGCATATATGCCCTTATTTCAGAATAGGATATTACATTTACACTCTGTTTGGATCATTGTTACCCTTTGTATTGTATTATATCGTTACTATACCTACAATGTTTGTTTTGATTGTTACTTAAAATGTATTGTATTGTATTGTATTATTAAATTCCGTTGTTACGTAATAATGAAAACCCTCATTTTATGGAACAACCAATTTGGTGTGTTTCCATTGTTACTTAATTTCTTTTTCCAATTATATCTTTACATAATATTTCATAATACTATTTTACCATTTATCTTATATTATTTAATTTCAGTCAAACCTCATACCCTAGAATAATTAAGGATATTTTTAGTAAATTTATAAATTACAATACAATACGATACAGTCAAACCAAAACAATAAAAATGTTATTAAACAACAACAAACAATATAGTCTAGCCAAACATTGTATCTACCATACAATACAGTACGATAGAGTACGATACAATACAATACATTATGAAACATTGGGTAACAATGATCCACACAAAGTGTAAAAGAGCTCCAATCACTTTCTATTTATCATCAACAAGTTCCTTACTATGTCAACTTCTTGAGGCATAGTTGTTGTTGCAATGAGAATGATAGTGGAAAGGACCAAAAACATTTCATGGCTAGTATTTACCAATTATATAAAATTTTCATGCCCACTGATCAAAGAAAAGCTTTCATTATAGCGCCAACGCTGGTTCAAAAATCGTTTTACATTGCAATTTTGAGCCCGTTTGTGGAATTCTTGCAAATTTTTCGAATCCCCTTGTTAAAATTCTCACTCCACAATTACAAAAGTTCTTCTACTGAAGTGGAGGGAACGAGAGAGTTAATAAGATGTATTATCATATCCAATACTATATAAAAGTACCTTAAATTACATTTTTATAGGCAAAATCATTTTGAAAAGTTTGAAGAATCTAAGAGAAAACTTCTGCTCCTCAAATAATTAACATGTCCATTTTTGTAGAATTGCTTTTAAGTCGAAGAGTAAAATTTTTGATCACTTACAAAATGAATAAAAGAAAGTAGTTTTTTCATTACTACTATGTCTAGTTTCTAATTAAAAGATTCAGAAAATTAACAAAAACATTATGAACTAGGAGGATGCAAAAGTTACCAAAATAAAAACCAAACTGTTTTCTATTTCAAAACAGAATACCTATGTTTTGATGTCATATTCTAAAAGTTGCATTACATAGTAGCTATATGCAACATTATTCATACTTTTGCTTGCCTGATTGGGACAAGTTATTTATTCTACTAAGTTCTTAACATAAACTAGTAGTATAACATAATTATATTCCTGCTGCAGCTGTTGGACACCCGCAGCTACTTCTCCACCGTGATCCGGCCTGTTTCCTCAAAACTGCCATCCCCTACTGGTTCCTACAAATCCAGAGAAGCAAGTTTCAGCAGAGTAACACGCAAGTGTTTGAAAATTAAAAAAAAAAGTTGCTATAGATCTAGTTCACTTATTAATACAATGATGGTATGAAATGAGTTTAAATGAAGAAGTGTGGATTCCGACATCAACTTGTTTGAGACTGAGGCATAGAAATCATAATATATATTTACTAATATATATATCATTCGGCCTTCTAGTTTACCAAAAATGGCTGAAGTATAAAGTATAGATATTTCAATTAGTATAGAGTACACACTACCTATACACTGTGTACCTATTTTGTAAACTAGATGACCCTGAGGTCTTGACCTGAAATTTTCTCTAAGATGGTATGATAGATATAAGGGGTACTTGAATTAGATCACTGCAAATCAGATGGTCAAACGACTTCCTCAACCGGTAGATTGAGGGTCCGAGTCATGCTGGAGGGTAAGTGGAACACTATTGATCCTCCTAATGAGTGGAGTGGGAAAAAAAGAAGACCTCCTGAGACTTCTTTCAAACATTTCATGTTTTTCAATCTGAAGATAGTAATTAAGAGACAGACAACTTTAGGAAATAGAACATATATAAAGCACTCAAAAGAGTTACCAGTAAGCATTTAAATATGAAGATTCGTTACCTGCAGCAGCCATATCCTCTGTGTTGACCTAGAAATAATAATGCTAACAGTTACTTTCCATACTGGATGCAGGTAAAAAATTTAAACATCCTTCCAAATATGAAACAATCAAAAATGGCTTACCGCGGGATATTCATTTTTCTGGAGAAATCCTTGGACACCCAAGAGTTTTGCCTGATAAGAAGAGTACAAAGCATGATCATGCCGGTCCTAATTCAACTAACCAACTGCTACTATTTTTTATTGAAATAGAAGTAAAAAATTGCATCAGCCTTGAGATACGCTCACTTTTGATTGTTGAATCTGTTCCATATTACTCCGAAGGAACTGCGCATATGCTTCAGCTTCTTGGACTGAGCTGATATTCTCCACTTGCGGTTTGTAATACCTGCTCCATCCAAGGAAGAAAAACATTATTCCTTTTTTAGAAATAGAATATCAAAAAAGAGATGCACGACAAAAAAAGAAAGAGAAGAACGAAATAGAGAGGAACTCTTTAACCTTATTTTCTGTTGTGCTTCAATTAGTGTTTCTTTGAGCTCATTAAGCTTCTTCCCATGAGCCTAATATGGAAATACATGGAAAATATATCAAGTTATGAGTTTTCAGTAATAACAAATATAAGCTTATAACTACTGGCTTAATATCACCCTATCCAAGTGATATATCCTTGGAGTTTTTAAGTATACACTATTGTGGAAGCATCAAATCTTACCTCAGCACTAAAGCACGTTGACCAATCATCAGCATCGTAATATACCCAGCAAAAAATGAAAAAAATTATTCAATCACATAGAAAATACCAACCAAAAAAAGGAAAAAAAGAAAAGAAAGAGAGAAGTCATGTATCCACTCGGACGAACTAATAGACTAATACATATAAATGGAGTGCCAAAGGAGAGTGTCATACATAGCTATCTTTCCAACCATTTTGCCTTCAGATTTCGACTGTGTGAGACTCTGCATCAAAAGCTGCAAAATAAAGTCATGTTAAGGTCAGATGAAACTCCAAGGACTTGCCGGTAGAGGCTGTTGATCAGTAAAAAATGTGTAAAACTTAGTACCTGTTCATTTGGATTTGGTATGAGTCTTCAACAATCATGTGGATTGGGTCAACAAAAAAAAAACATTTGAGATAATCAGTCAAATGGAATTGGCAAAGTCTAGTTCATGGATCTGGCATATTGAAATAAACATACCGCTGATTCACAGACTTGTTCATAGCACGGACCATGATATCCTCAACACTAAGCAACCAAAAGAAATCATATCACATTTTGTATCATAAAGGAAATATAGAATGTTCAAACAAAAAAGATCATTCTAGAAATTCCATTAACCTTTCTTTGCTAGAATAGCTGGTCACTTGACCAGCTGGAGAAAACATCAACAACGCAACATCTGTATCACATAAGACCGCCAACTCATTTGACTTCTTAAGAATGGTATCCTTGCGCTTTGAATAGAACTGTTGACGGGATATTGGATCCTCAATTTTCTTCATCACAAGCTTATTGCGACCCATGAGAAGATGCAAACTAGAACTGGAAGTTAGATGCAAGGTTGTTCTTCAATGAACTGAGAAATATATAGATCAACAGAGAAAAAAAAAGGAAAAAAATAGGTCAAAGAATTTAATACGTTAACGTGCTAGTCTTAAGTCAAACCAGTTTAGAAAATCTAATATTAAATCAGATAGAAAGATTTTGTGAAGAAAACAACTTTCAGTGCTAATCTTTAGTCAACACTAGATTTTTTCTGTGGGCGGTAACCTGCGGAATGGAAAATAACAGTTAATGAACATAAATATGTGGGCTATAATAACCTGTTGAATGGAAAATAACAATAACTCCTAAGCTCTTTCTTTCAAATAATGATATTAGACAAGTCCTATTTATCACCTTTCCTAGAATTCTTAAGGCAATATGATATAATTTCAATGTATAGAAGAATTTATATTTTTTTATCTCAAGATAAGTGTAAGGTTTATGAGAAGATCACATTAAAAAGAACTAAGATAATACATCAGTAAAACTAATTTATGTCAGTACAGAATAACACTATTTCTTTTTAGTATGCCTATAGCATTGCACCATAGAGAAACTTTAGGTCAAAGTCGAATTAAAGATTTTAAGTTTATAGGTTCTGGATTCTAATACAGGACAATAATTGTGACCGGGATATTTTAATTATCACGTGGATTTTTTGACACAAATATAGAGTTTGAAACAAAGCTACTGAGTACTGCCGAACCCATAACTTATGGCATAGATCCGCCCAACTAATGATGAAACATGATACTTAATAATGCTACACCTATAAAATAGTATAAGAAAAAACAGGTCATATCATTTGGCTGAGTGACTTCCTCCCCTCTCGTTTATCAGCTTTACCCTTGACCTAACAATAAAATATATGTTCACAGCTTCAAATAAAAAATTGATGTCCATATCCGTTCTTTTTTTTTGAAAACTGAGAAATCCGCGAGGGTCAATGACACATAGTTAGAGACTCCTGGGATCCCTTCTCTTTTGAATACCAGGCCTTTTTTGTGGTAGGGTTCAAACTCAAATCATGTGCTCAACTCATACCATGCATTAAATATTTAAATTACTCCAGATTCTTACTAAGATTTAAAGAGCTCCTCTTATTTACATTCTCAGCAACAGGTTTCTTCTTAGACACACATATCAAATTGATTGCTCTGTCAAACATAGGTTACCTACCTATCTACATACATAAATGATTTGTTCTTTAGTATATGGAAACCACATAGATATGTACAAGCAAAGAATAATCTAGATTACAAAGGAGAAAACAACAATGAACAAGACAGAATACTTGAGTAACTAATACTAACTGTCATGA